CAATAATAACAAATTTTAAAACTTTGTAAATATATGAAACCACAACCAAAGGTGTTATTATGACAATGTTTTTAGTTAGAACAAACTGTTAACATGCAAAAGGTTAAAACCATGATTCAAAACATGTTCCCTTGATAACAAACAGTCGATCTCCCCCTTTTTTTTCCTAGCCCACAGTTTTTGTAAAATTATACAACACCAAAGTAGGAACTACTGAAAGCCAAGTCATAAAGGTTGAACAAAAACTCGTCACCTGGAAGCTGTTTGGAGTAGCTTGGGATGGGTAGATTGAGAACATTTATGCATGTATTGGCTGTGGGCATAAATGCATCACCACATTCAATGAAATTGATTTCTGGTGATAAAACAAATCCTAGTGTAGGTTCTTCATCTGTTCCACACACAAACTGCAGCACATGACCAAGGTTAAGGGTGTTATTTCCTGACACTCTCCTTCCAGCAGCAACTTCTTTAATGTAACGAATAAATGCAGCATATACTTCCTTCTAGTATTTTCTTGCATTTGAGCCTTCCTCACAGAATTTAGGAGTGAGAAGATTAGCAAGCTTCTTCACACTGAGAGCACTTGCTTCACTTGGAATGAAGAGATACATGAAAGTGGGTAGTTTCATCAATAGCCGGAGAACACCAACTTTACGAAACCCTCTCATGAGATTTCTTACACATGATGATGATGTGTCGCCATTTGCTAGTTCTTTAAGAATGTTTTCAGGGAAGAATTGAGGATTTTTACCATTCTGAAGAACACTCAGCCCCATTACAGTGCCAGCTGGCTTGTATTCTTCAGAAAAATCTTCCCGTAACACTCCACCTTCAAAAAGGTTGTCTTTAATCTCAATCAGCATCAATCGAAAAAACTCCTTCCTAGGGCCTCCAAAGTCCCTTGCAGCCTCGCCAATAAAGTTCACTTCAAATGGTAACCTGAAGTTACTTATTGTGCTTATTTCCTCAAATACCGATTCCAGTAAATTCTCTCTGTCAACCAGAATAAAATTGGTTTCCCCTTCTATTTCAATTCATACATCTGCTGTCTCCAATGGTCTACCATTTAGAATCTTCCCTTGAGCATACTTTAGTATTTCAACAGGGTTTTGCACATCATTTACACAGTGATTTATGATCTCTTGGGTGATTACATCTATTTCTGTAAACTCCTTATCTTCAGTAAGGTCAATAGTTTCCCTCTTGTCAACTGAAAAGCACAATATACTCAGTTCTTATAGTGTTCATTATTATATACAATGAAAACGTGGAAAGAAAGACAGAAATTTAACATAATGTAATCGCCTAGTGTTGTTTGAATATTATACTTAAAAAGCTAATAGATTTTTTAACAGTCTAATGTTCTTTTAAAATTGTTCAGTTCATCATCTGGACTAAAAAAATTTGGAAATGAACATCTAAATTGCAGAGTGTTAAGTAATCCCATAAGAGAATAGTTTTGTTTAAAACAAATTGAAGCATTCCACTTAACACTATCCCCTTATGGGATTACTTGGATGTTTATTTCCATTTTTTTTAGTTCTGATGATGAACTGAACAAGTTCGAAAACGTTTGTCTGTTAAAAAATCTATTAGCCTTTTATTTATAATAATAAACATTCAAAGTATGAACAAATCAAAATGTAAATTTGAGGATCATTTAGTCCCATTTTGAGCTACATGTATATTGTTTCAATAATTACATGTATATGGTGCTCTAATAATACCAGACAGATTTGATGATTGTAATAATTTAAAAAAACCTAACACAATACCAATGCAACTATTAAAACCAAAGACAATACAATAGAATTAACTACTACCTTACAATATTACCTGCAGTAGTCTTATCAGCATCATGAAGTATAACACTTGGGTCATCTTCTTTTTCTAACTTCTTTTCATCAAATTCAAAAGGGCTTTTATCAAACTCGGAGTCATCACAGTCATCAGCAAATAAACGAACATAGACAGTGGTGGTGGATGCAATAGATTTCAACAGTATGCTGCCATAAATTTTTACTCCATTCGCTAATCGAGGCTTGTGTCCCATAACAGTTCTTTACAAACTCAAAATTGATATCCTTGCAATCATCTGGGAATTGTGCTTTTACTTTGCTGTACAAAGTAATTATTAAAGTAATTATTATTATTTTTCTTGTTATCATTATTATAATAATCATTATATTATTACAAATATATATAGGTATGTGTAGTGTTTTTCTTTTTTGGGTGGCCTTTTGTAAGGGAACCCTTTCCTGTTTCTTGGCCTTCCCCTCAGCTTTGTATATATGTTAAGTTTGTTGAGAAAAATGATTAAAGTAAAGTAAAGTATCATTCCACGTTTTGTAAATCGCAAAACCTGAAATGACTCGATTCTTTCTTTCCAGTTGCAGCTTTTCTTCTCTTGCTTATGGTGTTTTTTCAGTGTTTACCCCGACAATTACAATATCTTTGATCGCACAATCCCTTGTTGCAGTACGATTTGCTCTTCCAATATTACGGGATGACGATGCAACATTCCGGGGAGCATTGGTTGCGTTGCCCGACAGAGTTCGGAAACGAGAACGAAGCTCGCTGAGAACAATGCTAGGTCTACTTCCAGCTTGCCCTGGAGATTGGTTATCGGTACCAGAAGAAGATGATTGTCTGGCTGATGTATTTAATAGAGAATTAATCTCTCGGATGGCGTTTAATGCTATATTAGCTATTCTCGTTTCTCTACTTGACGAAGACATATTCCAAGATGGCGGCGACGACAGCCCGTTTTGGCGGGAACTTACCCTCGACCCATACCTCTCTCCAGAATGACCGCAATGCATCATGGATCCAAAAAAATGAGCACACAATCCCCAAAATTTTGGAGTACCATGGAAAAAAATTTATACCATCATGATACAAAAAAATATGTACATATACATTAAAAAAATTTTGAATTTGTAATTTTTTCTTGCATGATACACAAAAAATCAAATATTAATGCAAACAAGAAAGCGACATAGATGCACTAAAACATGATAGTAGCATGAAAAAACAATCCAGCCAATAGCTTTTATTTAGAGTGTAATTTTGACCAGTATGGGCCTTCATATACCACTGTTTCACTTTCAATACCTCCAAAGTCAGCCGTTCCATCTGCCATTAAACTGAAGTAGTTTTTGGAGTTTATCTCACAAATGAGGTCATCTCTGAAGCCGTCAGAAAGAAAAGAAACCAATTCTGCACAGCTTGTCTTATTTGCATATGTGCTGTTCAGTGTGACTCCGTTTTTTCTCTGCAACGACAGTAGCCCCTTAAATTTTGAAAAAGGCAGTCATTTTAAATCCAAATGAGCTCACGCGGTAGACATATCATGTTCACAAACGTGACTAAAAATATGACTACTACAATATGGTCTGCACGATTACTTCAGCTTTGAATTACGCATCGATGCCTCGTCATTTTTGTTTACTTTTTGTAAGAATAGAGTAAAGCATACTGTTATATTTACCTGACATTTCGCCATGTTAGATTTTCGCGTTGAGCCTTTGACGTCACTTCCTCTGAGTCCTGCGATCAATTTCCGGAACATTGTCAAATAATGGCGGACGCGAAATCGCGAGTTTAACGGCCCGAAAAAATATATTTCTGGTGCTCGGTCTAGACTGAAATTTGGCAGAGTAGGTGAAGGAGACACACTGAACACGAAAATGATGAAAAATGATGTACGAAAATTTTGATCTCAGGGGCACTTTAACTGTTTTATTCGCGTTATACCTTGGAAAGCCACTCTATATTTAATACTGGTGCGTTGTTTTATCTCACTGATGAGTTTTGGCAAAGAGGTAGGGACGGAAAATGGTCAGAAGACACTAATTCTTTCTTTAACAAAAGGATCTTCAATTCTTAGGTTATCGATGTTCTTTTTTTTGTAAAGATTTCCTTTAACTAAATATTCCAAGTTCTAAATCAAAAATGGATGGGCGGTGCTCCTCCAAATGGAAGTGTTTTATCTTCAATCAAAATGCCACGCCAATGCTATTTTAACGTTGCTGCAATACGCGCTGAAGCTTTGAATTCGCGCAGTCAGCGAAATATATAAAATTTTAATCTTTGTCGCTCACAGAGGCTTCGTAGCATCAAATTTCAAATATGCTCACATAAATATCAAATAATTCAAAGCAAAAGTTATGAACCTCGTTCCATGGATCAATCTCCTTTTCCAGGGGAAGGGATGAAGACAAACCACAGGAATGACGTCAAACATGTTGTTTATTCTGGTCTCTGAGTAAACTAATCACCAATTTTCTTAGGAACTCGTGCTATGAAAATCTCCATGTGGTAAAAGGAACGAAGCTGGAGCTTAAAGCGCTAGTAACCATGATAAGACTGTCAAAATAAGCTTTGCGGTCAGCTCTCAGGTCACTCTTCGTCAAAGTAAGGGTTACGCATGGGTTCACGTTCGGAAAGTCCTGTTGCCCTGAGCGCATGCGCACTCTCTTTTAATGTAGCAGCCGCCATAGTTCTTGAGTTCACGAAATTTTTGCGGTTTGTTACGGCCTATTCGCAAACGTTCTCTACTGTTCAGGAAGCATTCCATGGCATTTCTGATATTCATTTGGCTGAGTAATTAACGAGAGATTTTGTCACGGTCAAAGAATTCTAAACTTGCCGTCATCCTGCTGTTCCTGGCGTTAGCCAATTCAGAGTAGAGGCCGACTACTATCAAACGAGCGGCGACTGAAAATAACGGACAGATCCTCTTCTACACTGATTTCTGATACATGCTTAATAACTTTACAGCAGATTTAACCAGTGTGGTGCTTCTGTTTGGACTTTTTGCGTTTCTTAGGTGATTTGCTTTGATCATTGGATGGCTGAAAAGAAAACACATAATTTATGAAATGAGACAGATATTTTAGTGGCAGTTAAAAGAAAAGTTAGTGCATTATCGAGATCAAGAATCGAGAAAAGAGAAGAGCAGAGAGATAATACAAAAGAAGAGAACGACAAGGGCAGATACAAAGATTAAGCGAAAGTTGGGAAGAGAAGAAAAACAAATCGGCAGGAAACGAGAAAAGGTGTGGAATGCAAAACTGGGAAGTTTAAGGAGCAGTTGAGAAGCAAACGAAGGAGTAGGAAGAGAAGAAAGGAGCGTAAATGAAAAAGGAGGAGTAAAATAAAAAGGATAGCCATGCAAGGACGAAAGGAAAGGGAAATGCAATGACAATCTTTAAGAAGAGGTACGATTACACTCATGAGGAAAAGTAAGTAGAAAATGGGAACAACGGATAAGTTTTGACTTCTACCCACCTGTGTCTTCCGCTTTGTGCTTGCAACGCTAATTACACTGGTGTTGTTCTTATTATTACCTAAAGCCGTGCTCCATTCGTCATCTTTTCCTGATATGGCAAACCTAATTAAGAGCACAATAACTAAGTCAATTAATGAATAAACGGACGCTACTGACACAAAACAGACGCAACAGTCCAAAATCGATCGGAACCGCCACAATTCAGACGAAAGTGTCCGAAATCTGACGGGACTGTCCAGAAACGGACAGGCAGAAGAAAAGATAGACAGACAGACAGACAGACAGACAAAGGGCAGTGTAAGAACTCACTCGCTGAGATCAATATTCTTCAGTTTTTCCAGTTCTTTCTTTTGCTTTTCTTTCAATTCCTTCGCTGCCTCTTCCTGAAATTTGTCAACAAGAAATTATGCCATGAATATCTGGTTCTCTTCGAAACAGAAGTTTTCTTAAAAACGCCCTGTGAATAATATGACAAAATCGCTTTTGGTATCTCTCCGCTACGTGAATCACACCCACTCTATATCGTTGATAAGACACAACTTTGAGTTTTAATCCTTTCACTACCGACAGTGACTCTTGAAAAAGAAGTTTCTCACAAAATCATTGCTACAATTATCGAGCAGTAAGGTGAAAAGAAAAAAAGATAAATATCAACAGTAGGATGTTGCTTGATTTAACACTAAGATTCAGTCTTAAAAGACTAAGAAATATATGGCTAACAGAGCAGATAATTTGATGTTTAGATCTTGGAAGTGAAAGTGTTGAAAAGGTCACCGAAGGAAAGAAAAAGAGAAGGAGCATATGACTGGAGTTTTCTTTGTTAAAGGTAGAAAGGTAGTAGTATGATAAGTTAGAAAGCTAACCAAATCTTCTTGAAGTCCTTGAGCTAACGGCTCCATCGCCACTTCTCTTCCTTTGGTGACTTGAGCATCAAAGGATGACTCCAGAACAGAATTAAAACACTGTGAGGAGAAAAAAAAAATTGGAACTGTAAACTTTACATCCGCAGAAGACCTACTTAGTCTATTTTTTTGACAGGTCTTGACATCTTGATATTGTTTAGTTTATGGAAATTGTTTCACAGCGCCTCGTGAGTCCACAACATTTTGACCACTGTGATGACGAAAGTCGTTGTCAAAAAGAGTACAGAGTGAGCGCGAGGTAATCGTAGCGAGATATGACGCAATCTTCAACCAATCAGAGCGCGCGTATCTCTATAATCACCGGAGTAATTCTATTTAATCGCACCTACTAAAAGACCTATTCTCTTAGAAGTACATATTTTAAATTTTTTTTATTTTTACCTGAACAACTTTTCTCAAAGTTCTGTTGAACAATCCCAGTAACTGAGAAGATGGTAGTTCTAGTTCTTTCTAAAAAAAACAAAAACACAAACAAAGAACAAACATAACAACCATAAATAGTATGTCAAATTTATGCTATAAAATATGTGAATGACCTTTCAAGGTTTGACGATTAACATATACCTCGAGGGCCTCTATTGTCTTGTGTTGAAGTCCAAGTCCGAGAAGAATCGCCTGTTGGAAAAAAACAGAGCATACTACATGACATACACCATCAGTAACCGAACCAAACCATGCGTGCACCAAAAAATATTTTCAACCTTTTAAATGTCTACCTTATCTTAGGGATGGGTCATTATTTATCGCTTAGGGAAGGGGGATCGGAGGATTTTGGTAGTGTCGCAATAACATTTACTTGACCCCCTCCCCTGTAGTATTCTAATGATCCCCTTCATTGGCTGTAATAATTTTCCTGATCCCCCCTCTCATGGTGGATACGTGCATATGGGTAACTGCACTTTCTATCCACAAACAGATGAATAATTGATTGACCCTATCAGAAAATCGTAACCTGACTCCTAAAAGAGGGAGAAGGAGACGAGACTCACGAAGAAGCCGGACGGGGAGGAGGGGGGGGGGGTGAATCGTTCCTTTGTCTGCTTCCAAATGTTGGTACTCCTTGAGACGCAAAGAAAGACCTTCCAAGACAATCTGAGAGCGTAGTATACTCCTTAAACTTACCGACTGCACTGCAGAAAGATCGAAGTCCATTTTCTGAAGGAAATATAGCCTGGAGACTGTGCGACAAAAACAATATCATGTCATAGTTAGAACTTTTTTTATATTCAATTCATGTTTGGAAATTCACCCCGGTTCCCTCACAGTTTGTCGCTAACTGTTTAAAATCCTGAGTGGGGTGAATTATTTTAGCTAGTCAAAATTAGATATTTTATACTCTTAGATTATACTGAAGGATTTTACCGTTTATTGCATCCATTTTGAAATTACTGGTGGTCCCTGTAATCTGATTGGCGCTAATTGGTGCGATTTATTCACGAATTGCACCATTTTTTGCTCTAAATCGCATCACTTTACGCTTGACTGAGTTTTTGACACATGACGTCAAAGTCTTTCTGTTTTGCATACAAAATAAGATGTAAAAGCGTTTCCGGTTCCGCTTTTTATTTAAAACCGGCTCAGTACCGCATCAATAAAATATTTGAATTCACCAAGTCTTGTATTTCGCTCGTTCGATTTTGAAATCACGCGTATGATTTCAGCCCAAATTGCACTCCACTCAGTTGAATTACCATTACGTAATACACAAAGTTATCTATCAAACCCCCACCCCCAACATCCTGGTATTGCAAAGAAGGACTGAGAGAGAAGGAAGCGAAGGGGGGTGGTGGTGGAATAATGAGGGAGCTGTTGCGTTATGACATTTCCAACGTTTCTGTGACCTCAGCTCTGCCCAAAGTAAATTCTTTCAGTTCCAAGAATATTATATGTTCATGAAGAGCTGTTTAGAAAGCGCTGCTAAATTTTGGTCATGTAAAAGTAATAACACAATTTGTATCCGTTTTCAAGAACTTGTACAGGCCATTCAGATTGAAAAGAAAAAAAAAAGACTAGTTTCCTGTTCCTCACCCGCTGGAAGCAAATCTGTGATCAAATGGTAATCCACCATATTACGTGAATAAAGATCCAATCGCTTGATGTCGTAAGTTGTAAGAACCGCTTCAAGCTCACTTTTTGTTAAACCTAAGAAACAATGAAAACAGAAGGTACGCTGTCATGGTGGACTTACTGTTGATGTGTTAGCCCTCTTGCTACGAAGTAAAAGTTCAATTAAGAAGTATCGATATGTGAGAAGAAGCTAACTTTTAAGATAGACCTTCTGATCTGCACGTACCACTTGGTTGCTTTATCTAAAAATGAATTTCTCTTTAAAATTTCAAGCAGAGTAGTGGTAAAAAGTAAGGAAAACTGAGCAGCAAATGGCGTGTCTTATTTGCATCAGTATAAAAGATAAATGAGCCTTTCTTATTGATACGTTTAACACTAGTAGAAAATTCATACAAAAAATTAATAAATAAGGCAATTCGCTCTCGACTTCTATGTTTGCGAACACAGGATTCGCTCTCATCAAATATCACGCAACGGAAATCTCATGGTCAAAATCTAATAGTTTAACTGATTTACCTGAATCTTTAACACCTTTGAAACTCTTGTTGTTCAGAATACTCAGAGCTAAAGACGGTCGAAAGTTGCGAAACTGATAAGAAAGGAGAGACAAAAAGCGCCGGCGGAAATCTGGAGAAAATAAAGAAAAAGCGATCATCAGTGAGACGCGATAACTTTGCCAATAATTAAAGGCGACGTATTCAGCCTTGGCAGGCCACACCACTCACCAGCCATGTACGCTTGCAGCCAGTTGTCATCAGAGTTTCCTTCTTGATCGGATAGTCGTCTTAACATTATACAAGAGTGTTCGCCAGTCAAATCATTCTAGAGAGTAAACAGAGACAACTCCAGTAAGGAAAAAAAAAAACCCCTAGAAAAAACTACACTTCTACTATGGACGATAAGCGATACGCAGGGACAGTAGGTAGTTCAAGCCAATTCATACTAGGCGACTCGGTCTCAAAGCCCGGGCAAAGGGAGGACTACCTATTATTAATGCCAGACCTCGCACAAACCTCTCCCCGACTCGTCTCAAATCTTCCCACAAGCAGAGAAGCGCGTGACCTACAGCGCTAATAATGAGGGTTTGCTCGCACGGTACCCTCTCTTCTGTGGTAATATAGCAAACTGCAAGTGCTAAATGAAGAAAATAAAAATCGTAGAATGACTGGCTCCCAGTCTTTCGGCAACAAATCACTTTTAGCGAAGCTAGCAGCGCGCGGAGCAAGCGCAGCGTAGACCCATATTTATGAGAAATAGTCGTATTGCAAACTGAGCAAAGCATCAAAGATTGACCAGTGTTCATGCTTACTCTGCACTTATTCATATGTTGCCAAAGCATGCCCCTAGTTCCTGCAACAGAATCTCGTTCAGACGATAAAAAAAACTAATGAAGAAAATTGAGTCGGTATGCTTTAAATTCCTTACTGGAGTCTGGCGTAGGTACACAGGACCAAAGTCGGATTTCTTCCAAAATCTGGCAGAAATGTAAAAAAAGCAAAGACGTGAAAAAAAATTGTTTATCTATGTAAGTGAATTCATGATGAAAAAACATACCGCATTCTTGCGATAAATAGTGTTGCGTCTGAATAAGCAAATAAACATTCTGTTCGAGCAAGGGTGTGTGTAAAGTCAGGGGGGGAGAATGTTTTGGGATCATATGATTTTAAAGGGGATCGGAGGGCGGATCAGTCCTGTCATAGTACAACGCGGCGACTTTAAAAGAATTGACTNCAGTCATAATTTATCTTGAAGGAAGGAAGGACTGGAGGTGTATCGAGATCGCATGGTTTCCAAGGGAACGGAGGGGGATAAGTCCTGGCCAACAGAATCCAACCCCCCTTTCTCCCACTCCCTGGCGATAGATAAAAAAAAAAAAAGAAAAGAAAAGTGTCCAAGAACAATTTGGGCTTCACAAGTTTTCAAGGAGTGCTCATTGGAAAGAGTACTCTATCCATTGAGCTAACCGCCTCCCGGTTAGCTCAATGGATAGAGCGCTGGACTGTTGTGCGGGAGGTCGAGGGTTCGAGCCCCGGCCGGACCAACACTCAAGGTCTTAAAATAATTGAGAAGAATATGCTACCTTTCTATAACATCAAGAAATGGTTAGATATTCTAGTCTTCTCGGATAGGGACGAATAAATGGAGGTCCCGTCTCCTACAGGGTTAGGGGTAGGAGACGTTAATTTCCCACGCACGAGATTACTGTGTGATGGATGTCCTCCCCTGGGATGGGATGGGTGGGATTTATTGGGTGGACTACTCGCATGGTTCGCATATGTTCCGTTCTAGTCCTACCCTACTGCGGTAATGCAATAAAAATGGTTAGAAGACGAGTGTTAAGTACTCCTTGGTGAAAATTATATCTGTCATCTTTGAATCTACAGCAACGGAAGGCTGGGGAGAGAAAAGCGGAAACGATGGTAAAGAGGAAGGAGAGGGGAGGGGTGGGGTGGGATCTTTCTTCGTCCCCTTCCCCGACTGTCCACTCGATGCTTCCTCGAAGTTTCACAATGAGATTGGTGAACTTTTTACCTCATCTCCAGTCAAAGTTGAGATTTGTCCTTCGTCGTTGCCTTCTTCAGCCAAACTGGGAATCTTCCCTTCGTAATACTGAATCAGAAGATTCATGGCCCGCCGACCATAACCCATCTGATGTAGGGAAGTAAAAAAAGCAACTTCATAATGGTTACTAAAAAGATTGTGCGACTTAAATTGCTATCTTTTGAGACAGAGATAATTCTAACCGTGAATATATGAAAATCATAAATTAAGAAATGAATACGAGAGCGATCTTCACAGTAATAAACACAACTTAAGCAGTGGTGAATATAAGGCCTCAAAAAAGTTCAGGTTTGTACGGGATTTGTGAATACATGAAAATCATATATTTGAACTGCGGTTAAAGAAATGCATCTGAGAGCGATCTTCGCAGTAATAAACACTACTTTAGCAGTAATGACAACAAGACCTGAAAAAAAGTCAGGCCTGTACGGGATTCGAAGCCATGACCTCTGTGATACCGGTGCAGTGCTATACCAACTGAGCTAACAAGTCAACTGGAAGCTGGACATTATGTTGCTGCGTAATAAACCCGTGAAGTGAGTCAACGTTTGGGAATATAAGGAAATCATATATTTGAACTGCAGTTAAACAAATGCGTATGAGAGCGATCTTCGCAGTTCACTCTATACACTGTCTATCCTCGGTAGCGAGTAGCCAATCACATTGCAGCATTCGTGATAGACCTCTAGTGATTTCACATCAGTTAGGTAGAGAGTGTCCCACTAAGGCATTGTAATTAGAGAATAGAGAATACACGGGAAAACCAACACTGCTTTTACTGCAGGAAATTTGATTGTTGTTTTACTTTAATTTGAGTAATAATATAATAGTTCTGATATTGAATATTATATCTACCGTTGGTTTGATGTAAAAACGGTCACTTATCGAGAAATACTTAATTTTTGTCCTTCAGTGTGTTCAATAACCAACAGCGAAAATATAACACCGTATAGACATACAATGAATAATAACTTAGCAGTGACGGATTTAGGGGAGAGGGGGTAAGTAAGACGGAATTCTGAACCCCTCCCTCCCTCCCTCCCTCCTGATACACACCTGCTCAGGCATGTTGCAAATTGTGTCCTTAAATATTAGCAACAAGACAAAAACGAAATAAGTTAAATGAAACATTCATACCCCTTGGAAGTCAGGATGACTAGCAATTCTAACAATTCTTCCTCCAGAAAGCCCCGCAAAATCGTGATCATTAAACTGCTGCGAGATTGTCCAAGGAATAAGATCGCCAGATGCCCTTTTGCCTCGTGAAAGACTGCTCATGATGGAAGACCTAGAGATATCACCTTCAAGGCAAACCTGTAAGAAAAGTCCAGGAGCAAAACAAATTGGATCATTAATGATAAGCAGAAAAAGCAGTGGTGCAATGCTTAGCGTACGAGGAGGAAGTCGAGATGCTCAAGATCAACTCGGTTTATGGAGGTTATATTTAACAATTATTCGCCGAAGGCCAGGTGAATATCGTCGAATAATCCCCGAGACGAAGTCGAGGGGATTATTCGACAATATTCACCGAACCTGAGGCGAATAATTGTTTTAGTATAATTTCAGAGCTGAACAACAGAAAAATTTCTAACATCATAACATTCTAGTAACATTTATTAACATTTTAGTTTAATATTTTATATAAACCGCGCGGAGCGGTTTGTACAGCGTCATATAAGGAACCGCTCGACCAATCAGATTGCTGGAAACTCTTTGTTTAGCTCTGAAATTATACTAAATATATATATATATATATGTAACTGCAGACAGGGTGCACACTGTTTCGACCTATGTGGGTCTCGTCAGTGCAGTGCAGACACTGGGCCAAGCTCTGGAATAAACCATTGCCTGGGCGCTACACTTGTGGGACCAAGTGCAGGCATGTTGCCATGCGAGAGTGCTCAAATCACAACTAAGGTGATGAGCTTCGCCCGAAGGCTAAGTGCATGGCAACCCCAGTGTAGAGTGCTCAATCGCAAGGTAGCCAAAAGGCAAAGCCAAGCGAGAGCTATCTAACTGCAGACAGTGCACACTGTTTCGACCTATGTGGGTCTCATCAGTGCAGTGCAGACACTGGGCCAAGCTCTGGAATAAACCATTGCCTGGGCGCTACACTTGTGGGACCAAGTGCAGGCATGTTGCCATGCGAGAGTGCTCAAATCACAACTAAGGTGATGAGCTTCGCCCGAAGGCTAAGTGCATGGCAACCCCAGTGTAAAGTGCTCAATCGCAAGGTAGCCAAAAGGCAAAGCCAAGCGAGAGCTATCTAACTGCAGACAGTGCACACTGTTTCGACCTATGTGGGTCTCATCAGTGCAGTGCAGACACTGGGCCAAGCTCTGGAATAAACCATTGCCTGGGCGCTACACTTGTGGGACCAAGTGCAGGCATGTTGCCATGCGAGAGTGCTCAAATCACAACTAAGGTGATGAGCTTCGCCCGAAGGCTAAGTGCATGGCAACCCCAGTGTAGAGTGCTCAATCGCAAGGTAGCCAAAAGGCAAAGCCAAGCGAGAGCTATCTAACTGCAGACAGTGCACACTGTTTCGACCTATGTGGGTCTCATCAGTGCAGTGCAGACACTGGGCCAAGCTCTGGAATAAACCATTGCCTGGGCGCTACACTTGTGGGACCAAGTGCAGGCATGTTGCCATGCGAGAGTGCTCAAATCACAACTAAGGTGATGAGCTTCGCCCGAAGGCTAAGTGCATGGCAACCCCAGTGTAGAGTGCTCAATCGCAAGGTAGCCAAAAGGCAAAGCCAAGCGAGAGCTATCTAACTGCAGACAGTGCACACTGTTTCGACCTATGTGGGTCTCATCAGTGCAGTGCAGACACTGGGCCAAGCTCTGGAATAAACCATTGCCTGGGCGCTACACTTGTGGGACCAAGTGCAG